CTGAATGTTAGATCTTCTTAGAATCACAGAATTCCAAGATGTTCTAACATTCAACAAGAAGGGCTTCGGATCATTACTCATTTCTTCTTAAAATACAAAATACAGAACAATAATCCAAAAAAGAAGAAAAAAAAATCTTTAAAGACATTTCAAATGCTTAATTTTTTTGACTCAGTGGGACAAGATGGCTTATTAATACAGTTTACCTGTTACAGTCTTTTTTTCTGTTCATATTAGTGCAGATGGTCAGTACTTCTCGTGCAGCAATCTCCAACCGTCACCAGCTTGTGTGCAAACCATTTGATTAAATATCTTCTTGAGGGCGATTTTGTTTGTTCTCCTTATTGGCCTTGATTTTAACGGTTGAATAGCAGCAGTCACCAATTCTTATTTTAAAATTGTTCTTCTTACTGGCTTCTGGTTGTACTACGGGAAGGATTTCAGCTAGCAAAAATCCTTCTGGTTAAAATAAATATAACTGCATAAGGATTTGGTTAATATTATAAAGATTCGTTTAGTATCTAAAAGTTAAAACTATACCACTGATGACTGAAATTTTCTGATCCTTCTTACCTACCTCTTAGGGTCTCTGGAGCTGGATACACCATCACAGCCTGTGAATAACCATCATGCCCATTCTCACACTCCAGTAGAGAGTAAGTATTTAAGACTTAGAAATATGTCTGCTTTTATGTTTCCTTATTTTCTGTTGACTAGTATTAGGAAAAAAAATGCTCAGAACTTCTTTTCTACAAATGCTGTGTGAGGGAGAAGGCATAGCACGGTGATAATGTCTATTCAGAAGAAGTGCAAGAATGAAATAATAAGATTTTGCTGGTAGGAATTAATTGAAAGTACCGTTTATGTAGTTATAGTTAGTCTTTCAAGCTGAAAAGATTTTGCATTTAAATTTCCTTAATTTGTTTCACTTAGAAAGAAAACACAATCCGTCTTCTCACCATAGTACAACAGATCATGTTCCTGAAAAGAAGTTTAAATCTGAAGCTCTTCTATCTACCCTGACTTCAGATGCTTCTAAAGAAAATACACCAGGTAATCTTAATTGTCTTGCATTTTATTCCTTTTTAATTGTAAGAAGAGCGACATGATTATATTTGTGAGTTACTGTCTTTTGAAATCTGAGGCTTATACCTTTTCCTCTGGGCTTTTCAGTCATTTGAAACATGAGAAATTGTAGGCATTGTTACTCATCTGTGTTGTCCATGAAGCATATCAGCTTTGTTGTCATAGAACAGCGGCGTGTTGGCTGTTTACTTTTATTTATCCTGCTTGGAGGTGGGTAACGGTACAGTTCCATTTAGCCAGAAGTAGAACTATAGGAGATCAAAGCATTATTATTTTGGGAAAAAGATATGCATGCAACAGTTTCCAAAGTAAGGGAAAAGAATTTTTGCACTTTTTTTTTTTTTTTAAAGGATTGGGCTGACGTAGCATCCAGCTACAATAAAATAAAATTCTTTTGTGTTTTATCTATCTTAAAAGAGATGAGAAGTCTTTGAGTAGTGAATAAAAAAACTCCAAAGCTTCCTTCTCGCTTTGAAAATTTGGATATTTCATAACTTCTTTTCTGAAAAGAGACTGAGAGAGATTATACTAAGGAAACTCCCTTATGATTTGGAGTTTAGTGCTGTTCATCAGATTGAAGTATTGTCCCTCATATCCATTTTACTTTTCTTTTGAAGGAATGTTACATAAGATGACAAATAAAACGTGACTGTGAACAGCAGTCAGTCTGTAGATGGCCATGGAATTCTGTCTTGCATTAAAACTGTGATTTGTAGCTTTGTTAAAAGTTTTACTTCAGAAACGGTGTAGGTGTAGAGTCAAATTCTTAGTCTCTTCTTGATGGTTACAGTAGTCAGGGTCATTTCGGTGGAGATTTGGCTTAATTAGAGATTGGCATAGCAGCTGCATCTGTTCTTTGATAGCTGAATGTGATAGTGAAGACTGTCTTTCTAAAAGGTCTCCTTGTGCATCAGGATGAGTGGGAAACAAACTTTTTTTTTCCCCCCAAGCCAATACTGACAGTGTCAAAAGACTTTTAAACGTTTCCGAACGATCAGACTGCTCTGATGCGTAAACAGAGTTCCAGCTCTTTCACTGGTTGTCATTTATAACTCTTCTTAAAATGCAAAGGAATTTAGTTTCATTTTGAATTTCATAAATGTGTTCTGTTCATCAAGGGTGTCGAAACAGTAATTCATCATCCTCTTCAAACAATGCATACAATACAAACTCTTCTCAACCATTGGCATCATATAACCTGGGCTCATTATCTTCAGGATCTGGGGCCGGTGCAATTACCATGGCAGCAGCTCAAGCAGTGCAAGCTACGGCGCAGGTAACATCAAAACATTCTTGTCATTCTGCCATCCACTGTTGATTAAGAAGAAAGACTAGTGTTTTGTTGGGTTTGATTTTTTTTATCTGAATTCATGTGATCACTTTCAGCTGATATGATTCAGTTCTCATATCATTAATTTTGTTTCTGTGCTACAGTTTCATCCTGTAAAACTTGCATAAAAGAACAACTTGTTTTCTAGTTTTTCCTGTGGGATATATGTCAAGGGTGAGTGTCAGGAGGACGGAGCCAGGCTCTTTTCAGTCATGGCCAATGACAGGACAAGGGGCAGTGGGTACAAGCTGAAACCTAGGAGGTTCCACAAAAATATTCGAAAAAACGTTCACTGTGAGGGTGACAGAGCACTGGGGAGGTTGTGGAGTCTCCTTCTCTGGAGACATTCAAAACCTGCCTGGACGTGTTCCTGTGTGACCTACTGTAGGTGATCCTGCTCTGGCAGGGGGCTGGACTAGATGATCTTTCAAGGTCTCTTCCAACCCCTGACATTCTGTGATTCTGTGCAGTTCTGTGATATTGTTACACCATTTTACCACTTGCTACAGATCATTATATTAACAGGGTCACTAATGAACCTGTACAAGTAATTAGCAGTCTGGTGTATGTCCTCTCTAAGCACTCTGCTGCGTAATCTGATGCAATATCAGTATTCCTTTCAGATGAAGGAAGGAAGACGAACATCCAGTCTAAAAGCCAGCTATGAAGCATTTAAGAACAATGATTTTCAGCTTGGAAGAGAATTTTCATTATCCAGAGATTCAACTGGATATTCGTCATCAGCTCTGGCGTCTACATTAACACAGACATTAAGTTCATCAACGACAGATTCACGAAGTGGCAGAAAAAGCAAGTAGGTTTTCTTACTTGTTGACTGCAGTTATAGCTTTAAAGACAGCTAAACTTTCTTTTAAAGATGGTGAACCATATTAGAGATAATTCATATTTAATATTGGGGTGCAGGGGAGATCTGCTAGCCTTTTTTTTAATTCAGGGCTTTCTTCTTTCATCCTCTCACTTTTTCTTTAAGAAAACTCACTTCAAGTTTTTAAATACATGCCTTGATTTGCTTTTTCATCTGTGATATAGTTGAGTTTCTTCCCTCATTTTTCTGTGTTCTGGAGAGAGGATTTGGCCCAACAGCATAAGTTAGGAGTTGCTGTGCAATGAATGATTTGTGGATGGTTCTGAAATAATCTGGAGATCTGCTTCATGCCACTTTGCCAGTAATCACATCTAGGACAGGAAATAGAATGAATTTTATTTCTGGTTAAAATAAAATTTAAAAACACTTTTAGCAACAAAAGTTCACAACACATTGTGACAACAATCACAAGTTGAAAAACTTTGTCTCAAAATGCCCATCCTTTTAAACTGACTTGCGTTTTTTAACTTCATACAGATTTGTGTGTGTTCACAGCTCAGTTAGTAATTTTGTCTTAGAAGCATTTTTCACCCGTGGGTAACTTAGGTGTCAGATCTGACCTATAAGCAAAAGCAGAGAATTTATATTTTGGTGCTGTTCCTGAGTGGAGATTAACGTTCAATCAGTCCTCTTCAAAACAGAGTCATCTGTTGTACATGACATATGACATTATTTATATGTAAATTCCTGGTTTATTAGTAGCATAATTTTCATGGGGACTTTACACCAACGCTGTTGATGGAAAATTTTGTAAAGAAAATCATTTGTTAAAACCATCTGGCAGTTTAAAGTTGTTAAATTCCATTGATTAGAGTAGCGAGTTTTGCACTGGTAAGACTTGTTTCTTTTTCCCAAGAGAATTCAGTGTGTCCGATGCTTTGGCGTTTACATACCTTGATATTTCCGAGTGAACCAAGTACTTGTTTTGTGATCCTTTCACTTGGCAGAAAATTAATTTAAATTACGATACTTTTTTTTTCCCCCCTAGAAACAACAACAAATCTTCAAGTCAGCAGTCTTCCTCATCATCATCTTCTTCATCTCTGTCATCGTGTTCTTCTTCATCTGCCCTGGCGCAAGAACTGTCTCAGCAAACAGCAGTAATACCCGAGTCTGATTCTAACAGCCAGGTTGACTGGACCTACGATCCAAATGAACCACGATACTGCATTTGTAATCAGGTAAGGATTGCTTCCAACCTGAAACAGAGCTAGAGCTGCTGCTCTGCTGTAGCTGAGCTTCCCTCCGTGGCTGCTAATTTAAAAATATTCCTTTTGCAGCCTTTTGAAATTCTGATCTGGTTTTATTTACTTACGGGTGATACGAAGAACGCATTCAGCTGTTGAAGCTAAAAACAAGCAGGTTTTCCAGTGGTGTTACATACCTGGAGAGTTTTAGATCTTTTAATGAAGACTTCAGGAATAGTTAAGTACAAAATTGAACAGGTTGACAGTGAATTTAGTTAAAATTCTAAGTTAGTAAGGAATTTGTCTGGTCTCTCCTACTTTCCTTCAAAAGAAAACCTAAAAAAAGCCCAGAAGACAGAAAACTCCACAAACAAATTAAAAAACCCAAACAGTGAAACAATAACGTAGTTCTGTAAAAGCCACCCAGAAATGAGACACTAAATGACAGAATTACAAACTCATATTCAAAAGAGCCTGGTTTTATCTTAAACGCTTTTAAGAGTGGGAGCTTTTTTAGACTTTATGAAATTGTGTAATTTGCTTGAAACTATTTGATTGTTTCCAAGTGCTTTAAATTGCCATATATGCAAGGTGAGTGCCAGACTTCAACATAATCTTGAAAACTGGACGATACATATGAGCGCTGCTGGGTAGACCAAAATGCACTTTGCTTGGATTTTAAATGCTGTAAATGCTGACCTATTTTATCCTGCCTGAAATGTGGAAAAATACCTTTCTTTTTTTTTTGCATAACGTTTTTGAAAATTGAATTGCTGTAAACTTCTTCTATGTTGTGTAACGAAACAAGAATCAAAATGCTGCGTTGCTGCTGTTAATGGAAAAGATCTCAAAGGAAGAAACTTGAACTTTAGCCCTTTGAAAATGTTGATTGCTTTTAATTAGTAATATGATTATTAATAAGAAATTGTTTTTCTTATTTGCTAGGTGTCCTATGGTGAAATGGTAGGCTGTGATAACCAAGATGTAAGTAACCAAGTTCAAAAGGCTCATGAGAGGCTTGTACATGTAACTGTTGCTTGCAGGAGTTACTTTTTGTTAGAGATGGTTTTAGAGTTGTTTGGTGGTGGTATGTTTTTTTTCTTTTAGAGTAATGTGTCTATGAGTTGAACCATTTCTGAGGAAATTTCTATTCATCTGTTCCCACAGCTCAGGTTCTTTTAAAAAGCTTCACCCTTTACTGGGAATGTTTGGTATCTTTAAAATGCTGTTTGTTTCTTGAGCTTTGCCACTACTGGTATCAATTGCCCCCTTGAAATAAAAAAAGTCTTAAAATAACAGTTGAATGCAATAATGTATTTACTGAGATGGTACATTTAAAGAGAAGTGAGTGATGCCGGTTAGCTCAGTCAGCTGAGCGTGGCGCTAACAACACTAAGGTCGTGGGTTTGATTCCCGTTCAGTCCCCATGTGTTGCCTTATCTAGTGGCGTCCCTGCTGACAGGGAGGCTGGATTAAATGATCTCTAAGGTCCCTTCCAGCTTAGGCCACTCTATGATTCTGTGATTGATTCTATGATGAGAACATGGTTGTATTAGTAGTGTCAAACTAAGTATTTCGAAGTACAGCATACTTCTTTGGCTCCACTACATGAGTCCATACGTGACTCCTAGAATTTTTATCACTTTCCTTAGTGTGTTGAGTGTATGTTAGGGACCAAGATCCTCCTTTCTTCTTGTTTTGTGCCATGACTTTGCATGAAAAGCAGGATTTCGCGTTTTACTCGCACTTCGTTTTTGTAGAATTGTATTTGTGATAGATGTTTTGGAAAAAAAAAACCAAAACAAAAAACCCCTAGAAAACAAAACCCAAACCCCAAACTCTCTCTTTAATTCTGTTTTTATAGTGTCCCATCGAGTGGTTCCACTATGGATGTGTTGGACTGACAGAAGCACCGAAAGGGAAGTGGTACTGTCCGCAGTGTACGGCTGCGATGAAGAGAAGAGGCAGTAGGCATAAATAAGTTTCTTCATCTGGGAAGCAAATGACACCCTAAAGGTTTTGTAGAGGACTTGGAAGGGGGAGGAATCCCCACCACACTTCCTTGCAACCACTTAAGGAGTAACATAGCAGTCATAAGATCTCGAACTATTGATTTTGCGAGTTGTGTTTTAATATTGTAAGTAAATTATTTATGCACATTGTTGTGCTACAAATGCTATTCCAGTGAGCCTCGGATTGTTCCAGTGGCTGACATATGCAGACATTTGTACTATCAAACCATTTTCTCTAAGCAGTGGGCATTCTACAACTATTCAATCTTCAAAAAATTCCAGTGAGTCAAGATTTTAAATGTTATGTTTTATATTCAACAGATATATTCTGCTGCATGTACTGTACTCAAGAGCTGTTATGTAACACTATGTATATAAATGGTGCAGAAAGTCAGTGCTTCTGAAAACAAATAATGAGACAATGGTTTTTAAAATGCCTTTATAGCTTTGGTTCTTTATGAAACTTAATTCAGCAGGCTGAAGAAAATGGTTCTTGTATACAGCGGGCTGTTGTCCTCTAGGGTACTTGAGTATGTAAAAAACAAAACAAAACGAAAAATGCTGTAGAATAAAACAAACTTGTGCCATTAGTCTTTATATGTTTCTGCTCCGGAGAAGGTGCAGGCCATAAGAGGAAAAAAAGGTGTTAAAGTGATGATAAATTTTTATACCAAATGTGTTTATTTTTTTGTGCAAGTAATCCTTTAAATTTGAATTGTATTAGGTGTTAAAATAAAACGACCTCAACTCCTCAAATTAATGTTTTCTGTCCATTTGTCAAAAAAACCTTTGTCCCTGAAGCGGTTTCAGAAGGATACAGCTAAGTTTGTTTGAGAAATTCCTACACGTTGTACAGGAGGACATTTCTGTGGTGGGTGGGTAACTAACGTGTGTATAGGGAAACGCTGAAATACTGTTTGCCCTGCTGCCTCGGTTTCCAGATGAAAAGTGGGAGCTGCTTGAATAGACACAAAAGTTCTTCTTTTCCTTGGGGTTAAAAATAATATCCCTGCTCTGTCAACAGATACCTGCAAGCAGGGTTGCCTTCCTATTTTCATGGTGCGGATGGAAATAGGAGAGGGAGAAAGAAAAACTGCGGTGAGTGTGTCTTGCAGCTGCCATATTCTTTCCTGGAAAGTAGTTTTCGTGTAAAAACCAACACGTGTTTCAGGAAAGAGGAAAGGGAGAAACAATTTGTTCTGCTGAAGAATCCCTAGGGTAATGCTGAGGAAGCCTAAATGTAGGTGCATAAATAGTTGGATCTGTTAATTGTACGCCTTGTATTACAGGATAAGAAAACTGACCTTTACATTAGATCCTTGTTTATGAATATAAGGAAAGATCTTCTATATTTTTTACTCGTGTAGTTTGGACGTAGTTTGTGGATTTCTTTCCACTGACAGTGTCCTGTTGTTTTTGTCTGGCTCCTTTGTGCAGTAGCGCTGAATGGAAACAAGATTATTACTCCCTTTTTATTTCTTTCTCCTTCCACTGCTGAAAAAAATACCCCTTCCCTTTGAAATAAAGATTTTACTTCAGCACTGGGTTGCTCTGTCACAGGCAGGAGGGCCATGGCCTTCACATGGTTGCTTTGCAAACCCGTGCGGAGGGCGAGCAGAGCAAAAGCGTCCCAGCGCGTGACTACACAAGTGTCAAGGAAATAAAAAAACCCCTTGGGCTCAGTAGTAGGAGTGTGTGCAGAAAATGCAGGCTTTACCCTCACCAAAGTGGAACCAGGCTTGTTCCACATTTATTTTAAATTAAAAAAAAAAAAAGCTGACATTTTAAATCCGTGAACTGAGTAAAAGTAGATATGTAAGAAGGGAAATGTGATTATGGATACTTTGACAGAAGAACAGAAGTTGGTGAAAATAAAAAGCAAAGAGCAATGTAACTAAGGTTTCATTAAAACAACTGTATATATTTCTGTGGAAATCTCAGTCTGAAAAAAAACACTTGAGGACTAGGGTATCTGGTTTTAAGTGAGGCTGTTGAGACAATAGAGATAACAAACTATTTGTTTGTTGGAAATTGGTGCCATGCTAAGAACTGAAGTTAAATAAGCAACGGATAACTTAGACTCCCCTTGGACTGAATGTCTGAGTCTCTAGGGCTAAGTAGTCCACTGAGAATTAAGACCACATATAGCAAAATTCCTCACTCTGACAGTAACTGTACCTAAGATGATGCAGAGACTGCAAATCCAAATTAAAGTGTCCATTTTTAGTGTGAGTGTTGGTTTGCTGTTGCATTGGACAGTATAAATTTGTTGAGGGTTAGGGCTGGGCCAGCCACTGAATGTGGACAGATGTTCTCTAAGCCTTCTCCCTCCCCAAAGGGGCAGAGAAAGAGAATAAGGCAGAGAGACCTGTGGACTGGAAAAGAAAGCTGAAACTGCTTTAATAAAACAATAACAAAAAATTAACTATATCCATATATATAACACTGATACCGAACCCAACTCCCTCCCCAATGGCAATCTCCACTGCAGAGCAGACGGCACCAGGGATGCCCCGAGCTCAAGGGCAGAGGGGAACCGGGCACAGGAGCTGCGTTCGGGAGCTCAGGATCGGGATCAAAGGCAGAAGAATTGAGGGAGTCCTCCTTGGATACTGGCCATTGAACAAGAGGAGCCTTAACTCCCATGGTCCCTCAGTTTATGCTAAATATGACATACAGAGCAGAATACTCTTGTTGGTCACCTGTTGTTACTCACTGGAGGTGCAACCTTTTACTTCCTTGTGACCCCTTTTACTTCTCAGTACCCCCAGCGTGGCAGTGCCCTTGGTCACTACAGGAGCAAGTCTAAGCAAGAGCCTTTCTGCACACCAGTCCCAGGCAGTAACTGTAAATACCAGGTGTTACCACTTCCAGTAGCAGACACTGTAAACTTCAGAAAGTGCAGTTTCTCAGAGGAGACTGAGCTGAAAACTAAAATCACTGAACAGGATTGGTTCTCTTTAGCTCAAACCAGGACAAATCTATTTTTTCATGGATGAGCTAAAGAACTTGAGGAAAAAGACTTTGTCCTTGTTAGCACATTAGTATTGTGTGTTAGGAAGATAGAACTGGACAAATGAAAAATGTGAAAAAAATGCAATACATAAGTCAACGATGTAAACCAATAAAGCCTGTGCAAGTTTTCAGTTGTTCTCTTCTAAAAAGGAAGCCTGTGAGAAAATCTTAAGGGTCAATATGTGATTGTAGTGTAAAAAGCACTGAAAATCTAAAAAACAAGCAAAATTATTTCTTCACTATGCAATAGGTTAGACCAGTTTAAATACCAGGGCCCTTTCTGCGGGTTGCTTGAGGATTGCTCTTGAAGTAAGGCACCACAGGAATGGGTCTGCAACAAACTGGTGAGACCAAACCTGCCTGAGAGTACTAGAAGAACTTGCAAATGGGATATCTGAGCAATTGTTATGTATTTTAAAATGTCTAAAGGAATGCAAACAACAAAAAAAAATGACAATTTTAAAAAAGCTTCAAGTTGGGTCTGCAAGCTCAATTTTTACTTCTTTGCACGTTGGCAGAAACTGATAAAGGCTAGAATTAATGTAGATGTGAGTAGTTACATATCGGCAGAGTCCTCACCTCATGATCATCAGTTGTTGGAAAGAGTAATCAAGGAAGGTCAGGCTGATGTATATGGGGTCTCTCATTAAAGTTTCTTTAAAAACCAGTGGTGCTCTGGTTGAAGAGTGGAGGTTCATTAATATTACGTGGCTGATTGCAAAATAGAATAGTAAAGAGTGAAAGAATGAACTACCAATACTGTTTATGAAGAGAGGCTGCTAAAGGACTCTGCTGCTAAACAGATGTAAAAGGTCAGGTAAAGACGGGTAAATAGTAACATGAGGTTTGCACTTGTGTTGGGTTCTCAGATATAACAAGAACGGAGACTGTTGCAGAACAATTTCATGACAGAGTGCCTGGTAAAATGGAAAATGTAATTCAGCATTTGCTAAAATAATGTAACTGCAATAAAATATATATAATATA